CATAAGACAAATTCTTAAATAGTATATAAAATGCCTGTCTGACAGCACTCTCATTTCTCCTTAATAGACATGCCCCTCTACAAAACCCACTCACATACCCCCCCGGGGCAGTGCTACTGACAGAAGTGTCTTTAGGCCATTCCCAAACGGGGACAATTAACATGTTCCTATGGACAGTAGAATTGTAAATGGGCTGATTTATTAATGTCATGCTCATAACTGAGCCTGAACTGCATACGGGGAACCGCTGCTTTTTCTGTCCTAATCCTTACTATCATCATTTCATTTTCCCCTCTACTTCTTTTGTATGTTTGTCATTCTCTTGTGACCCACTATTTCCGGGGTGCCTTGATAGTCGAAGCAGACTTTGAGCTGTTGAAGCTAGAGAGGTGAGCAGAGTAATCCTGATTCCCTGCATGGACTTCTCTGTTGACATCCACCCCTTGGCACTCATATGACCTTATGCAGTTGCAAGCAACCTATACTCTACTAAAACTTTAAAAAACACTCACAGTTGAGGAAGGAAAAAACTAGCAAAGATAAAGACGTAACTGCATATTACAAGATGCGTCATGAGATGGTGGAATCAGGGGCTCATCAATTTTCGGACATGTGCAGCATCATCTTAAAGCTTGTTCATTTGTCATACTTTTAACGATAACATTTTAAAAAATCTTGAATACAAGTTGTGACATTTGCCATCGAAAGAGATGGGGGTCGCCTGGTTTCAGAGGTAGAATTAGTGAGAAAATGGCAGCTAAAATTTGGACATTTCCATAGCTTGAGAGTCTATGGAATCTGAAAATGTACATATATTTCCTGCCTTTAATCAATGTTTTTCAGTAAAATCAAAACAGAAATGGACAAAAAAGGTGCCCAGCCGGAAAACAAAACTTCTATAAAAATTGCCAAATCGGCGGAAAAATGTCCGTTTTTTCAATTTCACAATCTCCACGAGCCCCTGATTTCACATGGCTACCTCATATGGATTTTCCAAGAAAGCCAAAAATTATAGTAAATGTGTTTCCAGGGGAGATAATCACTATAATATATATATGCATCTTTTTAAATTAAGGGAAGCAACATCTGTTTTGAGTGACAAAACCAAGGGAAGTAACTTGAAAATTTTCTTCATTCTCCTAACAAAACATAAAAAAATAAAATGACTAAGACACTACACAGCAAGATGCTCCTTGGTGTCTTTATTGGAAAAGGGGTGTATTTAAAAATTTAAAAAAAGTTGATTTGTAATGAAACAAATGTGGAATGACACTGATGATGTTCAAAAGCTATGACTATGACCTCTCAGAAGCAGTGAGAGTTTCAAAAGAACCAGTCATGAGGACAAGTTCATTGAGAACAACTCTTTACCATAGAATCAACAATGGGATAAACCGATCCACGATCCACGACATGTCTCATTTTGCAAACATATATATAAATTATATAATTACTCGCGGTAGTTTTTGTTTTAAATTTTAAATTTAGTCTTGATAAAAGAATAGATTTCAAAAGTCGCAATTTTTGAAAAGTGGGAAATCTGTGGGACCTTACCGTGAAATCCTATTAGCAAAACTGTGAATGGAAAAATCTGATTCTCCCCTATAATCTGGATGCATTTTGAGCCCATAATTTGAGATAATTTTGACCTGTATTACAGAACTGTTAGGGGGGGGGGTTATAATAATAATAATAATAACATTGATTTCTTTAAGACTCTGAAGTTGACTATGATCAGAGTTAGATTTGTCTGACAGTTTTGATAATGACACTGATGATGAGCTGTTCCATGCTTGCATGATGAACATGTCTACTTTCTAACCTCACAAATCACATACTATGGAGAGCAAAACAACTTCTATGGGGAGAAAACATTAAGCAGTAGAGCCTATTATATTATGTCCCATTTTTTGCATGATCAAAAACAGCAAAACAATTTTTCCCCACAACTGACCATCCATTGTAAAGTGACAGCATTCCAGGCTTGCTACCTATAGCAGGTGCCTATTGGTGGATCAGAAAAAGTCAAGTCCAGTCGATTGATTGTGGTTTCAGTCACCAGAGCACACAATAATACCATTGATATGTTCAACTGAATTTTGAATCATGAATGATAGGACAACCAACATAAAAAGTTTACTAACCTAACCCTAACTCTACTAATACACATGAAGCTACAGCGAGCACCAAGCACACCTCTGTGATCGGCCCAAACATGGATGATGCATTGCCGCCATCTATTTTTGTCATCTTCCTGGGTTTCCCTAGCCAGTTGCCTAGATCTAGATCTCGCCGTGGCGAGCCCGCTTTGCCCCTTAGCGCACGATGGGCTACACCACTTGGTCAGATCATTGCAGCATAGATAAACTTTAATAAAACAAATGTAACGATCTGAGAAGACTTTATAAACGGTAAACATCTCTAATTGCCACTTAAAATAGTTTTTGTTTGTTGATTTTCAGTTTTCTTTTCTTCCTTCTCATCCCTCCCCCCCCCCCCCCACCACCCGAAGAAATCAAAACTCTTTTTCCTTTTTCGCCCTTTTTTGTGTGTTAATTTGTGTAATCTTTAAACAATCTCAGTAATTCTCGTTCCCTAAATTTACCCTATAGGTGGGCCCGCCACGGCGAGATTTTTTTGTCAACTGGCGAGGGAAACTCGGGAACACGACAAAAATAGATGGCGGCAAAACGTCATCCATATTTAGGCCAATCACAGAGGTGTACTAGGGGTTCGCTTTAGCTTCATGTAACTCTAATTAAAATCACGCTAATGATGCCAATATAAGGCAAATACCCAGTGCCCATTGGGGGATCGGTTCTCTGACACAAACCGATTGCCCGACAAACAGCCTTGAAAACAGTGTATATCATGAGGGTCACCGTTGGCTTCGTTCGGTTTGCGCCACGATGGTAGTACTTTGAGAAGGACTTCCATAATGAGCGACGACCCCAACAAACACAAATACGTCTAGAGGAGACCTAACATTAATCCAACCCCTAACCCTACCCTTACCCCTAACTCTGTTATACCTCAGTATTGCAGTCCTGGTCCCGGAAGTCGAGTAAAAAAGTTGACCGAGTTGTGTAATGAGAACAAATTTTGGCTCTAAAAACTGTCACAAACCATTACGTGCGAAATTAGCAGGGGGGAGGGCCCCCTTCCACCTCCCCGGCCCCTTTTTTTTTTACACGATCCGTTTTTGGGTATTTTTTTTACTCGACTTCCCGTCTCACACTTAGCTACCACAGCTAGTTGTCCATTTTTTACATGCTGAACACGACAACTTCATTTCCGTCACAAGTTAATAGTTTTTTAAATATCTGATTGTTCTTAATCGATAGACTTGCTTTGGAACAATCGGGGGGTTCCAATTTTGTCTGTGGGCAGTGGAGAGAGAGAGAGAGAGAGAGAGAGAGAGAGAGAGAGAGAGAGAGAGAGAGAGAGAGAGAGAGAGAGAGAGAGAGAGAGAGAGAGAGAGAGAGAGAGAGAGAGAGGAGTAGCGCGAGAACTTCCGGGCAAAACAAAATGGCAACCCGCGTAGTTTGGCTCGATTCGAAAAGTTTAATAGCCGTAGCATCTTTGTAGACGACCAAATTAATTTACTTTTGTGTTTTAACATTTTTTTACTTTGTTTTGGTCAATTTGATCGTCCACACCGATAGACAGTATATTCAGAAAGAGACAAGAGAGAGAGAAGAGGGGAGGAGTAGATCTTGCGAGAACTTCCAGGCAAAACAAGATGGCGACCCCATAGTTCGGCTCGATTCGAAAAGTGAAATAGCCATACATCTTTGTAGACGATCAAATTAGCTTACTTTTGTGCTATAACGCAATCTTTTCTTTGCCTTTATCCATTAGATCATCCACATCGATAGAAAGTATTCCGAAATTAGGAAAAACAGGTCTTGTTTCACGCCGGGTGAGAATAGCCTACGGTGGCAAGTCTCACCCGGGGTGAGAGGTCGATCGTATTTCTATTCTCACCCCGGGTGAGAATAGCCACTTCCATTTTAGTTAAATTTGAAATTTTCTAGCTAGATATCTATAATCTAGATCTAGATCTAGATCTAGATTAAATTAGATATTCTGGTGATCTTGTAGTTCCGTTCGTTTAAGTCCATGATCCATTTGTTTACATCCAGAGAAGAAATCCAGAAGTCTTGAAGACCAAATACTATTTGAATTAGGCTACACAAAGAGCAGGGATGCAACCTAACTGCAAAACATCTAATTAGGATAAAGTTTCAGGGGGAGGGGCATGTGAAACCCCCCCCCCCACCTTCATATTTTTATTAGGTCAGGGGGGAAAGCCCCCCTGAAACCCCCCTACTCTTGACTTTAACGAACGAAACTGCAAAATCGCCGATATTCTAGACCAACTCAGCCAACTGTATGGCTGACCAAAATTTTGTTCTGCATTCAACTAGATCTAGATCTAGATCTAGAATCTATCTAGCTAGATCTAGATTTCTAGATCTAGATCTAGAATATCTAGAATCTACATTCTAGATCTAGATATATAATTATAATATATATAGATTCTAGAGTCTATACTATATAGATTTCTATATCTAGAATCTAGAATCTAGATCTAATCTAGATTCTAGATTAGATCTAGTGAGAAAAACAGTTAATTGTCTACCATGTCTACCATGACAAACAATAAACCGACTAATATGAAGATTGCAAGTAAGTGTAAAAAGGTTCCATTGTAAATTACACTCATTACAGACCGACACAAAGAGTCAAGGTTACAACTTATGAACCTAAATGTAAACACCGCCATTGGTCGGAAGTCGGAAGCACAGAGGGGGTGTGACGCTTCAGGCACTGTTTATTCCCAGATTTCACCTTTCGCAACACTTTCCATGTTCTTGTAAAATGTACCATCCTTGTGTATCATCCCTTTTTCGTGGCATTTCTTTGGATATCATAACAAAGATAATTTCGTTCTGTTGCTATATTCTACTTTCAAAGGATCACAAGGGTCACATTTATCCATGATAAGAAGAGAACTGTCGTAATTAACTAAAAAAATTATTTTCAAAACAACAAAGATTAAAACTTCACAACAGAAATTAATCTGGATACCTGCCTACTTGGGCCTGCCCTTTGAACCTGCCTTTCGAGTGACAGAATAAATGCTTGCTCTGTCCCTGACCTGACTACTTTGGTTACTTGACTGCTGCGAAAGTACCAACACCGAAGATGCCGCTGAAGTATTATTATGATTTATTGTCTCAGCCTTCCAGGGCTGTTTATTTGTTTTTAACATATAACAAAGTCCCGTTTGAAGCAAAGCCTGTTGCTCTCAGGAAAAGTAAGCTTACTAGATTCTACTACACTCTCTGTATAATTTATTTTCATTATATCTCTAGATCTAGAAGTTGTCTAGATCTAGATATAGATCTAGATAATATATATCTCTAGATCTAGAGCTATATTCGTTTCCTCCAGTAACTAAAGTATAACATGTTACAGTTGCAGTTATAGATACATGTAGGTCTAGAATCTAGATAATAGATCTATAGTTACTTTAGCCTCTAGTGTTAAAAGATACGAATATATTTAACATTGATTTTTGTGAACTAGAATCTAGATTCTATGTTGATCTTGACAACTACTGATACTTTTTGGAATTATTGCTACAGCAGGTCAGTGAAACATAATATCTATATAGCCTAGCCTAAAAGGCCCAATAGTAGGCTATAAGATGTATCGTCTATTGACAGTGTGTATAATAGACTCTCTATAGTAGACTATAGCCTAAGTTTTTCCTTGATCAGGAGTGAATTGTTGCGTCCTTCCTGGCCATTGGCACAAGCTAGTCCTATAATAAATAGCATATATAAGTAGAACGTATGTCCCTGTTTGAAAGCAAGCTCTATGCCTATGCGCTTTAAACTATATTAGTCCTACCACCCAGCGAGACAGATTAACAAGGACAGAAGAAGATCTTGTGAAACTGTGTGCAACTATATATATATTATAATGCTGGTTAGGCGGCCTACTGCATGGGGCTGAGGCTTTTTGAGAGCAAAATATATGCTAGTCTAATCCAGTTTTAATTTAATACAGTCAAACCTGCCCTGACGGCCACTTCTAGACGGCCACCTGTACAAACGAACACTCACTTTCCATTCCCCCCTTGTGTTTTTTCTATATAATTTAACTGTGCGTGTGAAACGGGCACCTGTCCAACGCAGCCGCGGACACCATATTTTAACACACCACCCCTATCACACTAAGCAATAACACCTGTCTTAGACGGCCACCTTAGTGACTCCATTACGTTTTTTCATGAATTGTGCATTGGCCACTGGCGTTGTTGGTGAGCCGTCATAATTCAATCACCTGTCGTTGTTGTTAGGTAGTCCCTCCCACCGATCATGTTGCGTAGGCCCCTCCCACTGTTGACCAATAGCTACCAATTTTCAGCTGCTTGTGAGGTAAGCGTGTGATCCTTCATAACCCATAAGCCCCGCCCAGAACTCTTACACTAATAGTAAGTGAGATGAGTACTCAATGCATGTTTACCCAGTCTGTAACAAAGTAACATAAAGGACGTCAACATGAACTTGTGACAGAAGCGTTGCTCGTTCTCCAAGTGGTGGCGACCCATGTGTTTGTTTTAACATGGCACTCGGTCTTCCTCGTCTGATACATTTAGTTTTATTGTCACCCTTACAAGTGCAAAATCAGCAACAGAATAAAAATTGCAAACAAAATACAAACCACCACCACCAACAACAAAAACAACAACAACAACAATGCGGCTCCACTTTCAATTGGGACCTCAGAGGGGAATGGTTTGTTTTCTTCATCTTGATCAGTCCTGCCTCAGACGGCCACCTGTCTTATACGGCCACTTTTCTCCTTGACAATGGGTGGCTGTCTTACACAGGTTTGACTGTGTATTGTCAAGTGCCTTGTTAAGTTATTGCCTCAGTCAGTGGCAGGGCATAGCTAAGGGCTTTTGAGCCCCACCCGCTCCCACCCCCACCCCCAAATTCTTTCCCTCCGTTAATAAATGTTTCTTCTAATAAACGAGATAATCAGTTGAAACCGTAAGAACTGTTTCAGAATCTTCCGCCTCCGCCTTTAGATGCATGCGGTGAACACACACGCTTGCTCGTTTATCCACTCACTGTAGTCACCGCTTACAACGATAGTAACCTAACAGCCAATCAAATGTGTTTAGGGCTCAGCAAAGGATGAACCCATTCCCACGGTCCTTTCTTAATGAAACTCTTCTTTAAAAAAAAGGAAAAAGAAACAAACGAGAGCCTGTGTAAACTGTTGTTAGAGAGGGCTTGTTTTCTGCCAGCTCAGACAATGAGGGGAAAGTTCATGACATATGTACTTTCCCCAGAGACCCATTACAGTAACCAAAATACTGGCCTCAGTGTAGGCCTACATCCATGACAAATATGAATATAGGTAGCTTCGTTACTTCTTTGTACTGGTCGAACAATAACATATACATACTCAGTGGCTCTCATGATGGTCTAGAGGTACAGCATTCGCCTCTTCTCATTCAATAGGTCCTGGGTTTGAAACTTGGCAGCACCAAAACATTTTTTTCTCTAAAATTTTCTCCTTTCTCCTCCTGTCCTGCTCTCTGCAATGTTCTGGCGTCTGCTTTCATCTCCACTTTCTGCTCCCCCCCCCCCCCCCCTCCTAGTTCTTCCTGCTGCCTTGCTGCCTCCTCCTTGGCTCCTTCTCACTGCTGTCTTTCAACCACACCCCTGATCTTAGGGCAGGTAAAATCGCGCTAGCTTTCTCAGGTAATAGCTAAAAAATTCTTGGAGATCTTGTGTGCAATTTGCGCACTTATAAGATCCCTTGGTGGTCGTAAAATCGATGAGAGTAAGCCTCGGCCGCCACCCAGGCAAAATTCAAAACTTATTCCTACCAAATTGAAAATGCTTACTCTCGCGTGCTCATATGATCTTTTGTGAAGTTGCAAGCACTGAAAGGCACGTTCAAAAAGCAAAAACAAACAGACAAAAGAATCCCCATTCTGTCTGAGGACTGCTGACAGAAAACTTTTCTTGAAGCAAATGACTCTTGTGAGTAGCAGGTGTTGAGGCCAACTTGTAGCGGAAATGACTGACTGTGGATGGGACAGGAATTATTATGGACAGGTAAAAAATATTGGAAAAATGCAAGGGTGTCATGGAACAGTGACCACTAGCACAGGTGACCACAGTGGAGAGCTGACCCATAAGACAGTTTGAGTTTGACTGTATTTTACATGTGCTGTCAAGTAGAAGACAACTATGTGTCTGTTATATTTTAAGTTAAGTGAGTCAATTTTGTCATGGTTGAGTGAGTTGTTTGTGAGTGCTGTGATATGGTCTGTTCCTTATTGTTACTTTCTCCATAGTGTTGCAACTCGTTAACTTGCTCCCTGGTAAAATATGGCCATTACTGAAGTGACTTTCAGTACACCAATGTTCAAAATATTATTTGCTGTGACAGCACCTGTTCTGTTGAATGAAATAAGATGGTATCATGGTCCACATTTCTTTCCTTTTAGATGAACACTATAGTGCTGAATTCAAGAAGATCAACCCTTTCTCCCTTGTTCCGGCTATAGACGATGATGGGTTCTGTCTCACTGAGAGGTATGCCGTTCAGGAAGTTTCTTATGCACGTCATACAAACTTGTGCAAAATGACACTAGTCCAAATATGTAAAACTCATTAGACCTGTGCAGTTGCTCCCATCAGCTGGTGTAATGCACACTGGTACATGATGCGAGTTTCCCTAAAAAAACATGAATGCAATCAACTTTGTGTCAAGCTTCTCTTAGGGCAGCTACACTGCTTTGTGTTTGTGTTTATGTTTGAACTTTTTAGTTTTAGAGATTTTACTGCGCTTGCAACTGCATAAGATCTTAGGGCAGGTAACATCTTACCTTTAGCTTTCTCGTTTGAGGGCAAAAAAAAATCTCGGAGGTCCCATGTGCAAGTTGTGCATGTTAAATATCCCTTTGTTGTCCTAAAATTTGAGAAGAGTAAGCTTTGGCCATCACCTGGCAAAATTCAATATTAATTCCTACGAAACTGCAAAATATAAAGCTGAGGATTTTCAGCTTTAATGGGAAGTTAGTCTTGTTGTATGGATATGAGATGTGGAACGCGCCTCAGATTTAATCCAGGTTTTCGTGAACAAGTATCTAAGGAAATTACTAAGGATCAGATGGACAGACAGGATCACCAACGAGGAAGTATTAAGAAGATTGAGACAGAGCCCAGTCAGAGATGAGGTGGGAAGAAGACGTTGACGATGGATTTGACCCACTTTCACTAAGTCAAGCAGCTGCATAGCAAGGAAAGTGTTAAATTGGTACCCACAGGGTAAAAGATCAAGGGAAAGACCACTTGGAACCAGGAGAAGAGTCACGGAGATGGATGTGCAGAAAAGTGGGACATGACATGCCATCAAGTGACTAAAACATGATAGAGAAAGGTAGAAAGTGTCTGTTCTTGGTCTATATTCTGATCCAGGGTGAGAAAGGCAATCTCGATGAAACTGTAAAATGCTTAAACTTAATGCACCCCTTGGGCCCATAGACCTGATACGTGGGTGGTTGGCAGGTGCTCTGGTGTGTTTTGCCCCTGCTTTCCTATCAAACATCTATCGTGCTTATTAAATCTCTCCTCCTTCTTTTTTGTGTTTGTTACTCTCTTGTAACACCTCTAATCTTCGGCACTTTTATGACCTTATTGTGTTGCAAGTGCCGTAAAACTCTTACTAAAGCATAAAACGGACGTGAGCATTGTAAAACGCTAACAAATAAGTATTTTACTGAGAATTTTTGTAAGAAATAGAGCGTCAGTTGAGTTGAATTTTAAAAAATAGATCAGTTCCGTCAGTCAATGAAATCAATATCAGGACCAATGAGTTAAATTGAGATTATTTGTGACCATGTAGATTTTTCCTTATCTCAAAAATATATAAATATTCTTAGTATAAAATTTTTTAAAGTACTAAATGTCTTTTAGCAGACAGACAGTCTTGTGTTATTTCTCTTCAAGATAGATCATTCGTTATTGTTGTGCTAATGAAGTCTGCTCAAAATTGTAAGTTAGGATTCTCTAAGCTTGGAACCTGGCAGTGATAGTTTCACTCCCTCTTACTTTTTTACTCTCCTCATTTTCCTGCTCCTCCTCAATTTTGCGGTGGACGACAAATGACTGTTTCCTGCTATTCTTGCTTACTTTCACAACGTTCTTTTTTTTTTAGATGTCACTGCGCTTTCATGAAGACTTGCGTTATATTCATTTGTTGAGGAAAAAAAAATTCTTTTCTCGGATATTTTTCAGTACTGCCATTGCCAAGTATGTCATTCAGAAGTTCAACCTACCTGATCACTGGTTCCCGCAGAAAGATATAAAGAAGCAGGCTCGAGTGGAAGAATATCTGCATTGGCATCACTTCAACACTCGGGCGCTTTGTGCTAATTTGTTTCGGAACTTGGTAAGTAAGAAATCGGATGTTGATGAATAAGACTTGTGTGATCTTTTTACATACTTGGCACGGCCTCTGTGGACCATTCTTTAGTACCCTTTTTGCTCTAGGTCACTTTGGTAATTGAAGATGATAGGGTTGAGCAATTGTTTCAACTTTGAGTACAAGTTCTCTCACAGAGCAAGAAATCTGGATTGTTTAAATTAAATTGTAAATTGTAAGTTTTTTGGGGGGTGAAAGATCAAGCTCTCTTTGTTCTTCATAATAAATCAAGTGCTCTTTTTCATTGCTTACTTCAGAAAGATTTCTTGGAAAAACTCTTGAAAACTTGAATACCTTGTCCCGTTAACCCTATCCGTACGTCGTGTTTTACCATCGTATCCATACGACTTGGGGAACTCCGTGCCACCACTTTCCAAAGAGATTATTTACTTGTTAATCTGATCCGTACGCTTTGAATGGCATTTTTTGAGAAATACTAAAAGTTTCTAAGAGATCTTCATTTTAGAAGTATTCTAAAATATGAAAAGTACAGCCCCGGGGGTACACAATGACCCCAGGGCGTACGGATAATGTTAAAAGGACGGAACAGAGGCTCTTGAAAAGTTGAGGCCTGTAGTAATTAACGTTCCATCACTTACTAGGATTTGCTTCCTCTTCATAACTTATCTATCACTACTATCAGTTTTATTGATGTGTTGAAAAAAAGATAAAAAGCTAAGCGTATACTTGTAAAATCCTCCAGGTGGAAGACGCACATCTTAGAAATTAAATATAACAGAAAAAACAAAATAATCAAATTTTTGCACCTGATGGAATTTGAGCCTACATATCATTTTGATTTTGCTTTCAAATTTTCCTCTCTTAAAATTATTGATAATGCTTATGTTGACTAGGACTTGTTTTTTAAGCTTTTCTTAGGCAACCTTTAAATTTGACATTCCTGACCTATGGAATTAATGAATATGACATGAATAAAGAATTTTGCAGTTACTGCTGTCTCCATATTATGGTTTAATGACATTGCAGATAAAGTTTAAAAGAAACAGACTTCTTCTGATTACTTTGCTTTTGTATAGATAATTAAAGCTACGTTGTGGGTGGTTGGCAGGTGCTCTGGTGTGGTTTGCTCCTTCTTTCCTATCAAACATCTGTCGTCCTTATCTCCCCCTCCGTCTTTTTTATGTTTGTTACTCTCTTGTAACACCTCTAATTTTCTGGCGCTCATATGACCTTATGCAGTTGCGAGCGCCGTAAAATCTCTACTAAAACTAAACTAAAAAGCTACGTTAAAAGAATAAACATTAGCAAGGAATAAGAGACGTTTTAAAGCAAGTCTTAAGTACTCCGGTCCAGTGGGCTTTGTTCCCTTGTGAGTAGGTGGTAAGAAAAAGACTTTACTGTCCACTTCTTATCTCTATCATTCATCATGGTAGTGCAAAAGTTGCAAACTAATCAAGAGAATATATCAACAAAGAAGTCAGAAAAGAAAAATTGATAAACAAGTAAATGAAAAAATCAATTTGATAAAGTAATACTCGTAAGATATCAAACATTTCAGATATGTTCCCTGTAATGAGTTAATTGCTTGCTGTCTTCGCAAATTAATATTTCTGCTTTACATGTTATTTTATAATGTAGATGTGTCATTGGTTCTCTGTTTTCAGCTCATTTTACCGAGAGCAACCGGCAAGAAAGCAGACCCCGAGGATATTGAAAAACAGAGACAGCGCATATTGAAAATAGTCATCCCTGCTTTTGAAAATTACTTTCTGAAAGATAGACCTTATCTGGCTGGGAATGAGATATCGCTGGCTGATCTCTTTGGCTCGGCTGAGCTGTTGCAACTGAAAGCCTGCAATGAGGAGTATCTGTATGAACAGTCTCCCATAGTGAAAGCCTGGCTGGAGAGGGTGAGGAAGGAGACGAACCCATATTTTGATGAATCCAACAAGCTTATTTACCGCACTGGAGAAAATTTTCAAAATATTATTTCGAAATTGTGAGCATTGACAATACTTCCGTAAGCTGACAAAACACTTATTTTTCATTTTTGGCGCCAAATTTGTTTTATTTGCTAAATTGAAAGCCTGATCAGGTACCCTACTTGTATGAAAAAAGCCAAAGTGAAACTGACTAGTTTTTTAATAAATTAGAATTCAAATTTGGAGAAGAACACCTTTTAATTGGTTACGCTGACAAAAAAACCCTCTTTATCTCGAAACTGCTGTGAATAAAAAAAAGGCGTTTTGTCAGTTTATGACAGAGTCGTACAAAAATTTGGTGTGATGAGTTGCATCATTTGTTATGAGACTGATTCACTTTTTAGTCAGGTTCTCAAAGGTGTTATTCCTTTAATAAAGTTGCCACAAACCTCTTGTGAATCTGTTAGTTTTGTCAGCCACATCTTTATTTGATTGTAACCATGGATTATGTTGTTGATGATTTTTTAAATTATGTTGTTTTTTGGGTTTTTTCATTTATTTTGAGAATTGTTAGATTGCCTCTTGTATTTATGCAGAATTCTAATTGGCTGTGCCTGATGGAGAAAAAGTTTAAGTTTTCATGTCCATACCGATCATGATATGACTGAAGTAAGTCCATCCATGTACAAAACAACAGGAAATAATGTTCTCAATGGAATTTGAGGGGGGGGGGGGGGAGCTCATAGATTTGCAGTTTAAGATGAAATGGATGTACTTTTGTAATGCATGCATGATGGTATTTCTTTGCGAGACTTTTGTCGCTTACTGCACATTTTGTGTACATGGTTGCTGTCCTTATAATAATAATGATATTAATGTTATAGCAATGTGATTTTTATAGTGCACTTTCATTCTGTGAATGTTCAATGCAGTTTACTGGACAGATTTCATGAACAAATATATACACTTAGTCATCATTAGCGATGCAATACATAAAAATAAACATGATCTCTCTCTCTCTGTGTCTTTGTCTCCGTCTCCCACTCCCTCTACTTTCCCTGCATGTAAACACACATACCCACATGCATGCGTAAATGCCACACACAGCACACAAACACAGACTTCCTTGAATGGATCTTGTTGAATGAAGCGTGTAAGGAGACGGGTTCTTTACATTCTTACTTGACTGATTTTGGAGCGGAAAGGACTACGCACTAGGCGATGTCGCCCAAAAGGTGACGCACTCTTATTCTCTTTTCACTATAACTTATGTTATTCAAGAAATGTTACTAGAATATATTACATTTTATTGTCTGTACATGTATCCTTGTGCATGTGCATGTATGATTTGACTTGTGAATGTTTAGTGGGTACTCTGATGAGGTTTACTCCTTCCTTCCTATCAAACATTTGCTTGGTATGTTACTCTCTAGTAACAACTTTAATCTTCGACACTTATATGACCTATTTGTTTTGCATGTGCTGTAAAACTCTTACAAAAGCTTTATTGGTTTGGCTCTTCGCCTTGCACATGAAAAGATGTGAGTTTGAGTCGCAGGCAGGAGAGTTTATCTTATCAAGTAATTGCATGATATGTGTGTCCAACTCAAACAGTTTGTTGACTTCTCATCTCCTAAACGGCATCAATTTTGTCAATGCGGGTGTAAAACATTTTGATAATTTACAATAAAAATATAGTATTTGTGAAGTGATTTTATCTAAACATCGGAATGACATTTTTTGTCTTGTCTTCATGAAACTTTTACTATGACTATGACAATATATGCCTCTTGTTTTACAGCTCTTATGGCCTTAACAGGTTGGGTTGGAGAGGCTTGCCTTGAAAATTATGTGAATTGGGTCCATGAGACCACTAAGCACATTATTACAACCATGTTTTTGTTGTTCTATAAGAATTGTTGCCTTTATAGGATAATATAATATCGAGAAATTATTTGTTGTTTTTGTTTTTTTCTAACATTGATTATCGGTAGGACAAAAATTGTGATTGCCTTTCTTGTAGAGTTAATGTGGGTTTTTTTTCTTTTTGGGTGTATTTTTATACAGTCATGGTAGGATCTGTTGCTGCACAGATGGTGCCACTAATTAATGGTATGTTATACTTCTCTTCCTTTCCCTTTGTTGTCCGTCTATCTGAATTTTCCCCCTGCCCTAAGTGACCGTTATTTTGTTGACGTTCTTCTCTATACTTTAACTTTTATTAACAAACTAACGCTGTCGTCATCACAATTCTTTGTTGTGGGTGGTTGGCAGGTGCTCTGGTGTGGTTTGCTCCTTCTTTCCTATCAAACATCTATCATCTTTATCTTTCCTCTTTCTTTTTTTATGTTTGTTCTCCTCTTGTAACATCTCTAATCTTTGGCACATATCTTTTTGTGTTACAATTGCTGTGGAACTCTTATTAAAACTAAAACAAATATTTGTTGGTCTTGTTGGAACCCTTTTGAGCCGACCTGTTCTGGTGTTGGTAAGGAGAGCACAACTGGTAGGTCCTATTTCTTTTCTTTCCTTCTTTTTGTGTCTGTTTGTCATACTTTTCCACTGCACTAATTGGTCGCTTTTATTTTAAGCACAATTTTAAGGAGGCTATCCTGAAAAATGCTGTTTTGAGAAAATGGAAGGTAAAGTTTTTGGACCCTTGTTCAGTTTCTTTAAAAGACAATGAGAGTTTTCTCTTATAAACAAACAAATTATATACACCCCAATGAAACCAAACTTCTCCTATAGGTAGGGCAATGCCCACTTTTGGTGTAGGTCAAGATTTCTGGAAACCCCCGAGATCTGGGTAAGCCCACTTGTCCTTAAAAGTGATCAATTTATAACCTGTTACCCTGTCGATGTGCTTCTTTATCTGCTAAGAGACAGGGGATCTTCTGGCCTCTGAGAAATCCATAGGCCTGATGACGTGGATTCAAAAGAGTGTTTGGACTTTGACTTTGAGGAAATGTTTGTCAATAATTGTCTCAGTTTGATCTCCTCTTTCCACCAGGGGTTTCATTACATTAATATCAGAAGGTTTTGCTTTCCTTTGTCACTGCGGGACCAATGTCCATCCCTTTACTTCATACGTGTATGTTGACGTTTGGTCAGCAGTCAGTGTTTCCGGATATGCTTGAAGCAGCAGCATGTTTTTGAATGATAGGCTATGGCTTTTTCACTATGCCAAAATTCCTAATCTTGACAACAAAGTACAAAGTGGGTGGTTGGCGAGTGCTCTGGTGTGGTTTGCTTCTTCTTTCCTATCAAACATCTATCGTCCTTATCTCCCCTTCTTTTTTATATTATGTTTGTTACTCTCTTGTCGCACCTCTAATCTTCTGGCGCTCATATGACCTTATGCAGTTGGAAGCGCCGTAACACCTCTACTAAAAACTAAAAAGTACAAAGGACGTCTTTTTGAAATTTGTCGGATTAAGTAAAAAAAAAAAATTAAAAAAGAAAGAAATTGATACAGATCTAGTTGCTGACTAAACAGTGAAGAGAGTAGTCACTGCAGAGCCCGAAAGATTTATGCACTTGTTGATGAATTTAAAAATAAATTAAATACCAAGTTATGACTATAATAATAACAATAATAATAATAATCACTTCTGTAGCACTCCCTGGTGGCTCCAGGCGCTTCGCAATTAAATAAAAATCGACGGCTGATACATTGACACATTTCATGTGTATAAGCTCCCTCAACATACAATAACCCTGTCAAGTATAATGTATACACCTCTATTCTGACCACCAAAAATTTTTTTTAAAAATCACTATGGTTGCTGATCACACTTGTTGAAAGTAGGCTATACTATACTGTACTCTGTGGGTGGTTGGTGAGTGCTCTGGTGTGGTTTGCTTTTTCTTTCCTATCAAACATATCGTCATTATTTTTCTTTTTTGTTTGTTACTCTCTTGTAACACCTCTTATCTTCTGGCGCTCAATGACCTTATGCAGTTGCTAGTGCCGTAAAAGCCTCTACCCTTAAACAAAAAACGTTTAAACAATACTACACTCTATGTACTCTAACCTTGCTTTAGAAGAAATTTATTCCGTGCTAATGGGTAAAAAAAAATTGCGAAATTAGCTTTAAATCCTTTTGCAGTAACTTTAAAAATCTCCATATAAAACATGTTTTTATTGGAGCTTTCACAGCTGTTTTTGACTACACTGTTGCCGTCGCTGTAATGTGGGTAATTTAACAATTAATGCAAGAATCATGTAGACCTGCGTCTGTGGTGTAGTGGAGCGTTTAGGCGCTTTGCCGTCACACTCTGAAGACCTAGAAGTCTAAGTCTTCAAGGGTTTATTTAAGTATTTTAAAAATAAACTTCCTCTCTTAAAATTCTTGACTTCTCCCAATGCAGAACATGAAATAAGAAAATTGAAAAACTAAATTATGCATTTTCTTGTTGAAAACAGTTTTGATTTGCCATAGCTGATGTAATTTCTTTGTATCTTACCAAATAACAAAGAAATAGCTTGAAAAATAATAAGATGTTTAGAGATTTTTACAATGTCCTTAATTATGATGAAACACGTGTTATTTTGTATTCCTCTCTGTTGCTGATGAATGATCATTTCATCCCTTTAAAACTTCAAATGTTAAATTTTAATATTTAATGTCTCGAGATCACCATTTTCCACGAATACATGTGTATACTAGTCACAATGTAATAGAAAACAGTGAGCATACAGAGAATTATAAGAGATAGCAACATATATATATATATCAGTGACACGTTCCCTTCGAAAGTCTTGATGAGAATCAGATATATTATATGAAAGCACATACAATGTATTATAGCTGTTGAGAGAAACAGCAGTGAGTGTGCCAACATAACGGACGAGGTAACACTTTGAAAAAAATGAAAACAGAAGCAATATTTTTTTTTCTATCTTTAATCATTTAAGACGAAAAAAGTGTTCCCTACATATTGCATAGGCGAAAAAACAGAAACCCCCAATCAATATCGTGTAAGCCACATTTCCTGTCTGTCTATTTGTCTGTGTCCATTTGTAGTTTCTGCCTCTTCCTCATCTCTCTCTCGTTCAATCCACTCGTTTCTTTAGTTAGAAAACAAAAACCGGAACGTTTTGTTTTAATGCCCTTAGCAACATTTTTACTTTATTTAAGAGGCGGGACCTCCGAATGAAACATTCATCTCCGATGAGACTGATCTAAATCTGTCCCCGTTGTTTTATGCAAGAAAAATTCTGAAATTACCCAAACTGGGCCAAAATATAGTATGTGAAATTATGCGATTCTGTTAATTTTAACAAAGAATAATAAAGGAAATTAATCAGAAATTATGCAAAAAATGATCAAATTTTTCTAAATTATGCAGGGTGCATAAAACCCCGGAGACTGATCTAAATGGTAAAACGTTTCTAAAGTGCCTTTTCCAATGACCCAACGTGGGACCAAGCTGAGGCTCGAACCCATCGGACCCGATACTGATACCGCAGTCTCACAATTACTATTTCGGTAGCCTAACCACTAGACTAATGGTCAGGCTACCGAAATAGACTAGACCACCGACGCCACCATTCTCATTTTAGCGTGTCGAACTGTTAGCTAAAATGGTTTGACAGGCACGTTTGTTTTTTGTTTTATTTTTTAAAAATTCAAACTGACTATTATAAAAGAATCACAGGAAAAGGTAGGCCTAATCATTTGTCTACACAATAAATGATTTTCAAGCTTACTAACCCCTGAATCAAATGAATCCTACAAAAAAACAACAACCCCAACCACAAGGTAAAATCCCCCCCAAAACAATAAATAAAGTAGGCTACATCAAGAACAGAAGTAAAACGAAACAAAATAAACTGC